TCTGGTGTGGTGAGAATTAAAGGGGACGATATGTGCAGAGCAAATGCCTTGCACATTAAGAATCCAATAAATGGTTATTCCTGTCACCGTTACTTCGCTGCCAGGTGCTACCACGGAAACGAGAGAGGCCCAACAGCGGTTGAGAGGGCGAGAGCACGTAAAGTGATCGATAGGCAAGGCCAGCGGGAGGATGTTTCCTTTCCTCCTTTGGGAGAGCGAGAGGGGGTTAGACCAAAGCAGTTCAGGAATGTGGAGCTTCAACCCAGAGCCCTGTGAATTCCTGTGGCCTTAGGATTTGAGGCCCGGCGCCATCCAGAACTCTCTGCGGAAGTAAGGCCTGGAGGGGAAGCGGGCCTTCAGGCAGCAGCTTCCTCCTCGCGCTGAGCAAGGCGAATGGAGAGGGCACGTGCCAGCAACCCAAGAAAGCACAGGAAATGAAGACTCTTGAACTCAGGCATTGTTCTGTGACCATCCTAGAATTTCCATTTAAAAAAAGATCCCTGCGCTATTTCACCAAAAATTAATTGAGTGCCCATTATGAGTCCGGTACTGAGCTCGAGCTGGTGAGACTCACACACAGAACAGTTACGGTTCCTGCCCTTACAGGCTTACTTTCTAGCGCGAAGACGGGCCTCAGACAGAGCCCTGCAGATGGTGCTGGGCCCCGAGGAGGCACGGGAGGCAACTGAGGAGTTAGCGCTTGGCCTGAGCCCTGGAGGAGGAGAAGCCAGCCATGGGGCGATCTGGGGAGAGAGCATTCCAGGCAGCGGGAACAGCAAGGGCAGAAACCCTGAGGTAGGCGTAGGTGTGAGCTCTAAAAAAGTCAGGACTACTCAGTTGTTCAGTAAAGTGGAAAAAGGAAGGCAGTTTATGAATTGATGGAAAAGGGGTGAGACTAGGGCAGGAGAAAGCAAGGGCACACTGGCCCAACCTCAGCACTCTCTTCCTCTTCATCTCTGCTAGTCAGGTCCTTGTCCTCACTTCTGCAGAGTGTGAGACGGTCCAAGGCATGACCCCACCATCTCTAACTCAGGTGTTTGCAGTTTACACCGAGCAGTTCAACTTATAAACAGGGGCCTTGGGACATAAGCTCCTCAGAGACCAGCACTATGTTCTGCTTGGTGACCCCTCCTCCCAGACTGGCTGGTGTGCTCTGAAGACAGAGCCTGGGTCTGAGGCCAGCTCTGCCACTTCTCACCTCGGAGATCCAGTTACACAGCCTCATGGGCCCCTCTGGGCCTCAGTTTCCTTGTCTAAAAAATGGGGGTCTAGCCTGGCCAGTGTGGCTTAGTTGGTGGAGCGTCATTCCAAGCACAGAAGGGTTGTCTGTTCGATTCCTGGTCAGGGCACATGCAAGGTTTGTGGGCTCGATCCCCAGTTGGGGCGCATACGAGAGGCAACCAATCAATGTTTCTAACTCACATTGATGTTTTTCTCTCTCCCTTCCTCTCTCTCTAAAATCAATAATATATATATTTTTAAATGAAGGTCTAATACTGCTACATACTCATAGGGCTGTTTTCACTTAGTGCCTGGAGTACAGTAAACCCAGAAGTGATATTTATAGCCTGCTTATCATAGTGCCCAAAGGGCAGAGAGTTAGCACAATCCCTTCTGCAGGAAGAGTTCTTGCAGCTTCCATCTTCTGCCCACTGGCCTCGCCTACTGGCAGTGCTTGGTTTTCGCTTCTTTTCCAAAACCCCTAGCCCTCTGGAGAAGAAAACCAATAGGCCATTATTTGAGCTAAAATCCACTTAAGCAAACATATTTACTAGAACACATGGGTATTTCTCTCTTTTTAAAATTTTCAATTACAATTGACATTCAACATTATTTTATTTTTTTTAATAATTCTTTCGGCCAATCAATGATTCCCTCTCATCATTGATGTTTCCATCTCTCTCTTCCTCTCCCTTCCTCTCTGAAATCAATAAAAATATATTAAAAAATTCTATGTTGTTGAAAGTATTACATATGTCCCCCCTTTCCCCTCATTGAACCCCTCTAGTACGCCCCCAGCCCCCTGTCCCACCCCAGGCCTTCAGCAACCTATTGTCTGTGTCCATGGGTTATGCATAGATGCATACACAGTCTTTGGTTGATTACCTCCCACCGTCCCTCTGAGATTCCACACTCTGTTCCATGCTTCCACATACCTGGATCCACTCCATTCATCAGTTTATTTTGTTACTTACCTTCCACATATGAGTGCAATCATGTGATACTTGTCTTTCTCTGACTGGCTTATTTCACTTAAAGGGTTTCCTTTTCTCTACTTCCTTACCAGCACTTGTCATTTGTTGATTTGTTGATGGTAGCCATTCTGACAGGTGTGTGGTGATACCTCATTGTCATTTTAATGTGCATCTCTCTGATGATCAGTGACTTTTAGCATTTTTTCATGTCTCTTGGCCATCTGTATGTCCACTTTGAAGAAGTGTCTATTTAGTCCTTTGCCCATTTTTTAATTGGATTGCTTGTCTTCCTTTTGTTAAGTTGTATGAGTTCTTCATATATTTTTGATATTAACCCTTTATCAGATGTATCATTGCCAAATATGTTCTCCCATACAGTGGGCTCTCTCTTTTCATTTCATTGATGTTTCTTTTGCTGTGCAGAAACTCAATATTATTTTATATTAGTTCCAGGTCACACGAGTATTTCTTAGAATAAATCAAGATAAATTCTTTAAGCAAATCTGAATTAGGTTAATGAAGAGGATGCTATAGAACAGTGGTTCTCAACCTTCTGGCCCTTTAAATACAGTTCCTCATGTTGTAACCCAACCATAAAATTATTTTCGTTGCTACTTCATAACTGTCATGTTGCTACTGTTGTGAATCGTAATGTAAATATCTGATATGCAGGATGGTCTTAGGCGACCCCTGTGAAAGGGTCATTCGACCGCCAAAGGGGTCAGGACCCACAGGTTGAGAACCGCTGCTATAGAAGCTTTATGTAAAGATTGGGAGTCTCTGGGGAAAAAAAGAAAATTGACTTATTTAAAACTTTCCTCAAAGACTCAATTGTCAGCTGAGCACCAGATAAGGTCAGCGTTTGTCTGGAAATAGGCGTTAAAAAAAACCACTAAAATCATTTTTCCCAGAATCCTTGGGGCAGCCCTGTCCTTTCTCCTTTCCTTTTGCTGTGGGCATACAGTTGCATTTACTCAGCTGGAAACTCCCAAGAAATGACACAAAGAGCTACCCAAGGACAATTCAGCAGAGTTCTTAAACTGGACAACAGGCATGTTTAAATAAGTTTGCAAAAATTCCCGGGAACCACTCTGGTCCTTTGAAAATGGAAACTTACTTTTGCCTAAAATGTGTTCCCGTCTGTTGGCAGAGTACAAATGCAGTATAATGCTCACATTATCTTTCAAAATCCTTAAATAAGTAGCACTTTAAATCAAGTCGAGCTGGTCCTTCCCCAACTAGTGACCTCAGCAAGCTTCCTTGGTAAAGTGGGTAAGCAGAAGTGACTTTTTAAAAAAAGAAGTGACTTTTTTAACAGAAAGTGACTTTTTTTAACAGGAAGGCCAAGGTATGCCGAGAGTATGCGGCACAGGTGGACTTGTAGGCCCCACAAACCAAGCTGAAGAAGCCTTTATGGACTCAGGAAGTCACTTCAGCTGAGTCTTTTCGACCTCAGCACTATTGACATTGGGGCTGGGCAAGTCCTTATGGGGGGCTGTTCAGCAGCCTGTTTAGCAGCTTCTATTAACTAGGTGTCAGTAGCAATACACCCCCACCCCCAACCCCAGGTGACGACCAAAGTTGCCACTGTCCCGAGGACAGAACTGGAAGCGACGGCTCTACATAAAACCCAGCCTCCATCTGCTCCGGCGAGATACTCTGTAGAAGCCTTGGCCAGAGAAAGGGCTGTCCTCCTGTAAGCCCGCACGGGGAGCTCCTGAAGTGTAGGGCCGCCGAGTTTTACTCCAGAGAATCAGTAAGGATGACAACGTATCAGTCGATTCCAGCAGTGGGGCATTTTCAGTACAATAATGATCTACAACTTTAGAATATTTCGGAAAGAATGGATTTTGTATTCGGAGGCAGAGAAGCCAGGCCTCGAGCTTACTGTCTGCATAAGCGGGCATCCTGGGTGAACCTTAGAATGGCCTCCCACTCAATGACCAGTTGGCTACCCTGTGCGTCTCCCACTGCAATCTTGCCCTCAATGCCAGCAAGAGGCGATATCTGTCTTTTCTTGGGAACAGATGCACTGATCAAACTAATTAATGAGCGACAGTGGGTTCAAGAGATAAATAAGAATTGTCTCATGACTGGATTTCCCCCACTTTCCCGGGGTAGGGAGGGAGGGAGAAAAGGGGAACCATACTCAAAAAAATCCCAAACCCATAATTAATATTCTCCCATTGTTCGACTGGTGTGGCTCAGCAGTTGAGCATCAACCCAGGAACCAAAAGGTCACCAGTTCGATTCCCAGTCAGGGCACATGCCGGGTTTGTGGGCTCCATCACTAGTAGGGAATGTTCAGAAGCAGCCGATTGATGTTTCTCTCTCATCAACATTTCTATCCCTCCCCCTTCTCTCTCTAAAAAGTCAATAAAAACATATTGAAAATAGTCTCCCATTATTAAACTACAAGCGATAGCTACCGTAAGAACAAACTAACCCCAAACTATGGCTTGATATACATATGAATTACTCCATGAAAATCAGCTTTACTTTTTAAAACTTTATTGATTTACCACCTGATTAAAGCATGGGATATTTTAACATATTATACATAATATTTTACATAGAAAACTTTACATAGCATTTCATATTATATAATTCTGCTTATTCTTTCAAAAATGTATACATCCATTGGGCAAGGAATGCTTTTCATTAAATTACCAATATTAAATGCACTTAATCATCGTGTATAGATTAAACAAAAGTAGCTATTAACGTTTAGGCATTTTAAGAAGGTAAAACATATATTTTGCACATAAAGAAATATTTGATGCAAATATGCAGATAAAATTTAAAAAAAAATTAGAACACTGAGAAAAACGAGACCTTTGATGAGCGTCTTTTTATGACAGCAAGGATTTCCAGATATATTCATTCTTTTAAATATTCAGCTTTGGTTTCTTTGTTTCCCAAACTACAAAGCTGCTGATGGCAAAACTCCAAGATTTCATGTGAGTTCAAGCTATGTTTATCTTAACACAAATATAGAAACAGAATTCAAAAAATGCAGTTTTTGTTTAAAAGCTGAGAATCCAGCTTCTGTTTAAACCAATACCATTTGCATCATAACAACAAACATCTGAATGAGATGGTCATACTTTTGTCAACAGGTTCCTTTAATAACTACTAAAGACTACTAAATGTATAGCCATAATCACAAAGGAACCACAAAAAAGTTTTTTTCTTTTTGCGTTTTGTACAAAAGTCACCTGTCAGCGGAAAATGTTGTGTTTCCAGATATTATACAATTCCCATAATGTATATTCTTTGGTTGTATGTGCGAGTACCAGGGGAAAAGTGTGTTTGATTCTAAAGATACAGATTTGAAATAAAATTTCCCATCTGTTTGTTGTTAAGATACCAAAGCTGGTGATTTCTATGAAGGACAATGAAGAAGAACAAAACTGCGCAAAGCAGAAGTAACAAAAACTTCTCTGGAGACCCAGCACATATACTCAACACTTAAAGCATTCTGGGAAAGTAAGGCCTTGGAAACGCTTCCCTCTGCTCCTCCACTTTGTTAACACATGGTGCCCTGGCCCGGTGCTGTGAGCCACACACACCCTTCTCACTAGTGTTTGAGTGGCACCAGCCACGTTCACCACGACACAGAAGTGGAATTTAGGCTGAATGGCTTATTACTGGAGGTAACGGATTTCCTCTGTAGGTCACGGTCCGGAGACAAGAAAAATTACCCTTCATGGTTTTACGTCCAGTGTTTAAAAGTCCACGCTGGTACAATTCAAACGCCTCATTTAGAAAATTGAATCATTTAAAAGATAAAGTTAAAAAGAAATGGAAGCCTGAATGTTTCAGTATGTAACAGAATGTACTACACATTTTTTACTCCGCAAAAGGAGGCAAAAATTAAAGAGAAGGCAGGAATATACTGGAAAAGTCTTGCAGTCACCTTCGAGGAAGCAAATGTCATATGACAATCTCAGAAGGAAAGGAAAAATCCCAATTAGGGGTGCAGCTGTACCGAAAATGTAATGAACATGCGTGTTCCCCATTTATGCCTTTAGTACAAATGTCGATGGAGATGACTGACTTGTTGGGGCTGTGACAGACCATCGTACCAGGAGTCAGTCAGTCTTAGAACGGAGCTCCCACGTTCAGTGCCAAGATGTAAGGGACTCAAGACAAGTCAGTCCAATGTGCTCTCCCGTGTCCCTTCCTGTTATATAGTTCCTCTTAAATGTGTGTAAATAATGTAAAAACATAAGCCTGCTTTTTTCCTTTGGTAAAGAAATGAAAACACTTTTGGAGAAAGAAAAAAGTAGAGTACTGCTGGCCCAAACCAAACATTTCTCAAGGCTGTTAAAAAGAAAAACGTTTAAGAAATGGGTTTCTTAATAAACAAAAGCACCAGAAATCCTTCTCTATAAAGAAAAAAAAATCTGCTTTTATAGATAGGTTCCCAACTTACTAACTTCTAAGGCACCAGAGTTGACATCGATACAACCCAATTTACAGGACTAACGGGCGTAGGCAGAAGTCTGAATGCGTTAAAAACTGTGTAACACCTTTCCTGATGCTGAGCTGCTCTTGGTGAGCAGTGGGCGAGAGGGCCAAGAATGAGGTGTGCTCTTTCTCACGGACTCACAACAACATGAACTTCCAAATATCCTGCTCGCAGGCTTTGGGCCGACCTGTACACTGCCCGCTTTCACATAAGATGCGTCAGAATCCAGGTCTACTGCAGCTAAGAATATTGCACCATTGTTAACACAGAAAGGGCCTCAGAATTGAACCTTCCAAAGAATTCAGCTCCTGGGCTCAGGTCAGCAGAAGCACTGGGCCATGCCGCCTCCTGCCAAGGTCACAGACCAGCTGTGCCGGCCCCACAACAGCACGGGTCTGCTCTGGTTGGACCCGCACACGGGCCTGAGGAGGTTCAGAGCAACCGTCTCCCGCACAGCCACTGCCCTCTCTCGAGGACCCTGCACTGGGGACTGTGCAGAGAGGGACACTAACCATTGGTCCACTCACGATTCTGAGGTACAAATAAAAGGTTTACGCAAATATAAATTAGTTCTTAAATTACTACTTCATATATTAGATTTCAGTGTGTGAGATGGACAATGTATCCTGGAAATTTAATTTGATACCCATCCACCACAAGTACTTACTTCAAGGAAGGCTAATCATCTTCATTAAATTTTTTTCCCCCTATAGTCTCTCTCCTCAAGTTACTAAAACAGGCAGAGCCAGGAGGCACTACATTTTAACCTTGCACGCTTGTCTAACTTAATCACGAAACTCTGCCTTAATCAAATCTTCAATAATATGTTTTTGTAAAATACTTTAAAAATCACTCAGACATAAACAGAACAGGGAAAACACCCTCCTTTTGTCCCCTACATCTCCCCAAACTAACCTATTGCAGCTGACTCACAACTGACAAACACTCAAACTTGTCTAACATACTCAAACAACAACAAAACCCAGCATCTTAGGTGGCACTTGGCCGTTACAAGAAATTTTATTAACAGACTCTAATAGTCACGAACCGATACAGCTATGTCCAGTATTTTAAAGGAGAGCAACTTCCTCTGACAAAATGGTTCCAGTCAATCATGGGACGTCCCTAGAGAGGACAGCACGTGCAGCGACAGGTCTGACCGACAGTTCAGTCAGGGAATGGAATGACGGAGATGAGAGACTCCCCACCCGCTGTGCTAACTGGGTCTGCAGCAGTTTCATACAACACACGCCCTGTTCAGGACGCTGAGGGACCAGCGCAGAGGCCGGCTTTATCCAGACCATCCTGAGCGCCAAGATGCTGACTCCTTGTCTCTAGGATCTGCCCCTTCGGGAGATGTGCCAGCAGAGGTGGCGTGGCGAGTGTTCTGAGGGCAGCAGGGCCAGGGCTACCACACTGGTGACAGGGTGCCTGCTGCCTGTGACGGCTCTTCTGGGATCCATATCTTATACACAACACCTATCCGTAGGAAGAATTTCCGCAGGACTGCCCGGAGCTCAGGGATCAGGTCAAACTGCATAATTTCACACAAGTAGGGGTAGTACTTTGAAGCATGTGCTTTAAACTTGAGGTGGGAGAGAGGAGAGAGAGTAAATTAGACAAAGAACTGATTTTTGGCACTCGTTTTACGGAAGTATTCACCTCTATCTGGAACTTCTTGCAGTATTGGTGCTTTTTTGCTATTAGAAAGTTGGTGCAAAAAAATTTGCCAACTGAAACTTCTTTTCCTTATATTTAACTCCAAACACAAACTTAGGGATAGGCTTGCTACAAAAGTCAACTTTAGTTTTAGTAAAGCAAGTTCCCAGTGCTAGACCGGTGCTGCCCAATCTCAATCTCTTCCAACACAGCCTCACTGAAGACCACCACAGCGCTGAATAGCATGCATGTTGCTATGGCTTCAATGTCAGCCTTTCCCAGCTGGGTTCTGCGAGAGAAAAACCCAATAACCTCAGGCTTCCAGTGTCTGTCATGAACTAACCTCCCCAACGCATGTACAATGGTACTAGTTATGTCACCATCCTTGGAAGAGTTGAGAAGATAGTTAACTCGCACTATGAATAAAAAGCCAACCCAAACCCATGTCCTAGTGGAGACACAGTTTATTTGCTTACCTTTTCATCGTTTATTTTGAGGGTTTTTGTGAGGAGTAACAGCAGGAGACTTGTCCAGGCCTCCCGATGGCTTTCAGAGTTCACGGTGATGAAGTAGGCAAGCGCCTCACTGCACACACTGGAAGAATCAGAAGGGCACACGGAACGAAGGATGAGCAACTCACGTTCTACTGAGCAGAGAATGCTTTACTCTCACAGTGAGCATTTACCAAGCACCTGCTCTGGCTGTGCAAACCATCTTGAGCAAATTGCTGAGCCTCAGTTTCCTCAGCTGTAAAATGGGGATAAGTAACTATACCAACTCAAGGGGCTGTTGTGAAGATTAAAGGGGCTACGTATGTTAAATGTCAGCTAAGCTCCAGCCCGGCACACAGCTGGGGCTCAATCAGTGTTTGCAGCACAAAAAGCATGAGAGCTTATTATCCACAGTTAATTATAACCTGCCTTTCTCTTCTCATATCACATATGATTGCTAACATTTTATTTTTTTAAAAATGTATTTTATTGATTTTTTACAGAGAGGAAGGGAGAGAGATAGAGAGTTAGAAACATCGATGAGAGAGAAACATCGATCAGCTGCCTCCTGCACATCTCCTATTGGGGATGTGCCCGCAACCGAGGTACATGCCCCTGACCGGAATCGAACCTGGGACCTTTCAGTCTGCAGGCCGACGCTCTATCCACCAAGCCAAACCGGTTTTGGCGATTGCTAACATTTTAAACATGTTATGCTAAAAACATTTACATATCGCCGAAACCGGTTTGGCTCAGTGGATAGAGCGTCGGCCTGTGGAATGAAAGGTCCCAGGTTCGATTCCGGTCAAGGGCATGTACCTTGGTTGCGGGCACATCCCCAGTAGGAGATGTGCAGGAGGCAGCTGATCGATGCTTCTCTCTCATCGATGTTTCTAACTATCTCTCTCCCTTCCTCTCTGTAAAAAATCAATAAAATATATTAAAAAAAAAACATTTACGTATCTTCTTTAGAGAAACTTTACACCACTATGCAGGTAAATCTCTGTTGAAATGAGCAATGGGTGTGCCCTTTAATTCTTTTTTCAGTTTATTACTTGTTAGTCATATACTCTCATTGTAAGAGGTGGAAAAGTGTATAAAAGTAAAAAGGAGGAAAATATCCATAATTCTATTGTCCTGAAGGACACATGACAATATTTTGGCTTAGTATTTCCTTCCAACTTTTTTGTTTATGATTAATAAAAAACAACACTGCTGAAAATCCTAAGTATACATAGTTTTACATCTGCTTTTTTTTGATTTCCACATCAGGGAAAATATTTTTTAAAAACTATTTTTAATGGTTGCATAATAGTATTCTAGTATAGATTATACTGTAATTTAATTTCACATTTGAGCTGTTTTAAATGTTTTCTTTTTATAAGCCGACAATTAATATTATGCATGGGAATACCTGTTCCTATATTCTAGATATTTTCTTAAATAGATTCTGTAATAGTGGATTACTGACGCAAAGAAGTGAACATTTTTAGGTTCCTGATTTATAACGACACCTGATTTCCAGAAAGAGCCTGTCAATACAGCCCACCAGGAGTGCTGGGAGCGAGTCTTATCACACGGATGCACAGGGGTAGCAGTGCTTACTGCTGGTTTTAAATCTTAAAGGTGTAAACGGAACCAGGTCTGCATGGCTCAGCAGTTGAGTGTTGACCTATGAACCAAGAGTTATGGTTTGATTCACAGTCAGGGCACATGGCTGGGTTGCAGGCTCAATCCCCAGAAGAGTGTGTGCAGGAGGCAGCTAATTAATGATTCTCTCTTATCAGTGATTTTTTCTATCTCTCTCTCCCTCTCTCTTCCTTTCTGAAGTCAATAAAACTATGTTAAAAAGAAAAAAAGGTGTAAATGGAGGCTCTGACATAGCATCTTGCTCACAGTTGCCCAAGAAGCTGGGTGGCAAAAATCTACTTTTTCTGCCTGGGGAGCTCTCAATGGCATCCCACTGTCTCCCCCATAATCAAACTAAGTGCATTCTGGCATCTGTATGATTTAATACATTCCTCTTGGAAAAAAGAAATGATAGGATGTTAGGGCTGACAGTGCTTGAAAGAGAACCTAGCAAGGACTTCACTCCAGGCCTGCTGACTCTGAGTCCAGGGCACGTTTCACTGCCCCTTTTTCTGTACCTTGAGAAAATTACAAATCAAAGAAATGCGGCCCTGCCACCTTCAGGGCATTAAGAAAAGTGAAAATGAAAAGTCACCAAAGAGAAGGAAAACAGTTTGAAAGGACATCAGTGTAGAGGTACTTTTCTCCTACTCTTCTCAATTCACGGTATTGCGGTGGTGCATTTTGTGTATTACATATAAGAAATTTAATCAGAAACCAATTTTCTTACTTTAAGAGTCGCTGCTGTATTTCTTCCCAGGAATCCCTGCGGTTCTCATCGACATACATTCGAAACAGGATCCTCAGACAACAGGCCAGGCTGCTGGTTTCTTGTTTTAGAAGATTGGGTTTAGACTTGCCTTTAAAACCTAGAGATCAAATAGTCACTGAAATTGTGCACATTCTAGGTTACTGCTGAAAAATCATCTGGGAAGCTAATCTAATCCAGTAAAAAGTACCCAAACAGCTGTTTTTTTAAAGTGTTTTCATTGATTCGGGGAGGGCGGCGGGGGTTTGGGGGGGAGCTTACATTCTTAATACGGCTCAACTATGATACCAGGTCAAGGCAGTCAGGACAGCTCACCCGTGCTCTGTGTAAGACACACTTCGCTCTCTCTGCCTGCTCTCTGCTCCCTTAGACTCTGCTCACTGGCTGGTGAAGCCATTTGTTTCAGCTTCTCAAGATTCTCGCATGTTCCAAGAACTCCCCCCCCCGCCCCGCCCTCCCATACAAAGCACGCATAAGAACACATTTTCTTAAACAAAGCAGTACCAATCAACCACAGAGATGTGTAACCCACTCTCAGAGGCAAGACCTTATAATAGGCAAAGACAACACATCTGGTATTTTAAAGTCATAGAGAAAAATGAGGTTTAAAAATTGTGGGTTAAAATAGGCATTTGGGGATTAAAGTAATGGTAATACAAAAATTATATAAAGTATCACTATTGTGCAAATTAAAAAAATGAGCCTCCCACCATCACCCCAGGATTTATGTAAATATTTTTGGAGGTGAGGAAGAGAGTGGACCCCTAAAAGCTTCAGAAAATGTATGAATGCTTTGTTTCTCCTAGACTACTACACTTATTATATCATCATATAACTACATAATTTTAATCTAATGTAAAAATTTTTTTTTATTTACTACATCAATTCAATTCTCTTTCAACTTGTTTTTCCATCAAAAACTTACTGAGAATCTCTCACAAGCCAGGCAATGTTCCTGGTACTGCAATAAAATCTATCCAGCAATTTCTTTCTCCCTCAAGCATGGAAATAGTTGGTAAGTTATTGCAGCTATGTGTACAATATCAGGAACCTCCCAAAGGCGTTAAGGTGATAACCACTGTGGCCACCTGTCCTATCTGCTGTGTGTCCTCACCTGCTCGCCATAGGACAGTTCGCTGCTCGTAATTGGAGTTGAAGGCTTTTGAGAATGAATGGGACTCCTGCAAGCAGTCCAACAGCTTGAAGAGGTGCTGGGAAGACATGCACTTATACATGCCCTGATCCTCCGTCTCTATGTGGATGTCCGCATCCAGCGTGTCTTGCTAGAGGGGAGGACAGAGCACTAAGTAAGGAAGATGAAATGGTTCTGGACATTGTAATATCTGATACAGGGATTTATACTCTCCAAAAGTCCTGTCCTCTGTGTAAGACAGACTGCATTCCTCAACACCCTGAACTACTTCCCACTTAGACTCTGCACACTGTCTGGTGAGAGAATATTCTGAGCTCTTGCACAGTGGAGGGCTTTGCTGGCCAATGTTTCAGTTTGGTCAGTATTGCCTTCAGGGCACGAACACTGTATATTTCTCCAATTATTTCACTACAGGAGTGCATTGTTCTCTTTTTATTTTATAAAGAAATTGGAAAATGGCAAAATCAAACTGTAGTATTTTCTGTGACAGAAAGTGTAAGTCTCAAAATATACTCCCTGTAAAGCAGAAATTATTAAGCAAAGCCTAACTGGAATCTTTAGCTTCATCAGGTGATGAATGAACTTAACCATTTAACTGCCACACATCCAAAACAGAACCCCCCGCGTCTATACATGCTTACAGTGAACAAAGGGTTAAGTTCAACAACTGTGTTTTCCAATGTGAAGAAAACAATGCATAAAAACATGTGTGAAATGCTAGAAATTTTTATTGAACACGTTGCCTGAGATGTGAGATGTAATCAGGGACTTTATATCCCTTAAGCCTTCTTGGAATGGACCCCATCCTCCTCATAAGGCAGAGGTTACAAGAGGACAAAAGGAGCAGAGTTTGCAATACTCTCCAAATTGATCTACAGAGTCAACAGCTTATCAAAATCACAGTTGACTTCTTTGTAGAAACTGACAAGCTGTCTTAAAATTCATATGAAATGTAAGTGACACAGAGAAGCCAAAATATCTTGAAAAAAGAAGAGCATTGGAGATCTTGCTTCCTGGCAATGTCATCAGTTTGGCTCAAATAAACTCTTATATAATATAAAAAAAAGCACAAAGTTTGAAGACTCATATTTTCCAATTTCAAAACTCAATAAAAAGCTGCAGTAATCAAGACTTGTGGTAACTGGCATAAAGGTAGACATAAAGACGTCCTTCTGGATGAAGCTGGGGCTGCGAGGGCTGAGGCAAACCGCTGTGGCTGAGAGGGCCGAGCCCCTTGCACGAATTCTGTGCATCAGGCCTCTATTATCCTAATATATAAAAACCCAGGGTCCATAACGACTGAACAAAGGCTTGACCAAACATGGGAAGTCAGTCCTGGGTTGCCATGGCGACCCAGCACTGACTGCTGAGGGGGCTGCGGATCAGGCCCGGAGAGAGAGGCTGGGTCTGATCCGCAGCCTCCATGGCAGCTGTTGATCAGCCGTTGCCTCTCTCTTTCTTTCCGGGCTTCACCAGCAGCTGTGCCTGTTTTTCTCTGGGCCTCCGAGGGGGCTGCTGATCAGCCCCACCTCTGATCAGGTCCGGAGATGCTGAGTGGCATAGAAACCGACCAATCAGAACCAAATTGGCCAGCAGGGGAGAGCAGTTGGGGGCGAGATCAGGCTGGCAGGGGAGAGCAGTTGGGGGCGATCAGGCAGGCAGGCAGAGAGGTTAGGGGCGATCAGGCAGGCAGGCAGGCAGAGGGGTTAGAAGCAAGCAGGCAGAGGCAGTTAGGGGCGATAAGGCAGGCAGGCAGGTGAGCGATTAGGAGCCAGTGGTCCCAGATTGCGATTGGGCCTAAACCGGAAGTCGGACATCCCCCAAGGGGTCCCTGATTGGAGAGGGTGCAGGCTGGGCTGAGGGGGGACCCGCCCCCCATGCATGAATTTCATGAACTGAGCCACTAGTTTAATAATAATAAAGTACTGATACCGGCTGCAACGTGAATGAAACTAGAAAATATGCTAAGTTAAAGAAGCCAGACACCAAAGCACACATATTATATGATTCCATTAATATGAAATAACCAGATTAGGCAAATCCAGAAGTAGATTTGATTAGTGGTTACTAAGGGCTGGAACCAGAAGGGAATGGAAATTGACTGCTAATGGTTAGGGCATTCCCTTTGGCAGTGAAAAAAAATATTCTGGAATTAGACCGTGGTGATATCTGTACAACTTTGTGAATATACTAAAACCACCAAATTGTACACTTAAAAAATACAGCCTTTGGCCCACAGATGTTTTGTTCATCAGTAATTATAGTACTTAATTATGTGATTTCCCATCTGAAACTATCTTAATTCTGGTTTCTCCTGAAAACTGGAAGACCATCAAGACTTGCCTCCCCTACAGCAGCACCACTGGAGCTGGGTGTGGCTTTGGCTCTGACTGGGGCTCTCTGTCAGTCCCACCCAGCCTGCAGCAAGCACTCACAGGATCTGCTAGCCCCTGAGGCACCTAAGTTTGAAACCCATGGTGTAAGGTTACTGTCCATGTTTTGGACAATCAATTCTCTATTTCCAAGAATACTGGTGTGCACAGAAGATTGTGGATGTAAAACAAAACGTGAACTTTCTCAAGAAAAAACTGGTATTATCCACATGTTTCCCTCTCACTTATTTGCAGTTAAATTATATACCAATTATGAGAAGTAGTCCTGTGATTAGTAACATTCAAAGTGGGGATGGCATCTGAGCAATGGTATGCTGGTAAATTGGCTCTCTGGGGAATAAAAATAAAAAGAAGCCCTGATGTTTAGCATTTGCTGATTTCTGTGGTGTAAATACTTCCATCTCAGCCAATCTGAAGCTACCAATATTATTATTTTTTAAAAATATATTATTATTGATTTCAGAAAGGAAGGGAGAGGGAGAGAGAGATAGAAACATCAGTGATGAGAGAGAATCATTGATTGGCTGCCTCCTGCACGCCTCCAACCGGGGATCGAGCCCACAACCCAGACATGTGCCCTTGACCAGAATCGAACCTGAGACCCTTCAATCCACAGGCCGATGCTCTACCAACTGAGCCAAACCGGCTACGGCCAATATGATGTTGAACACGGGGTTGGGAAAAGACGAGTATGATGGGCTCTTGCGAGCCAGTACAGCTGGTTCCAGCACACCACTGCACCTGCACAACTTCCCCAGGGCAAGGATGCCCTTCTCAAGGCCTGCTTCATTACCTGGGCAGCAACCATGTGCTCTGCATCTTCTTTTTTGCTCGTTGCTGGGTAGAACACGATGTTGTCAATGGCTTGTATCAATTCCAACTGGACCACGCACTTGATGAGGAGGCTGGCAAACAGTTTCTGATCTATATTAGATGATAAAGATTAACCCTAATAATAATTCAGCCAGCATTGGATAAATATTTACTGGGCTCCTACTATGTGCCAGGCACGGTTCTTGATGCTGTGGCCTAACAATGAGTAAGCAAGATAAAAATCCCTGCTCCCATGGAAGAAACAGACAACAAACAAGGTATCTAAGTGTATGATAGAGATGTCAAATGATGAAGATGTACATAGGGGTGAGGATAAGGTAAAGATGGGGTCAGGATTGGTTTGCAAATTTAAGCAATGTGGTCAGGAAAGGCTTCTCTGAGAATGTAGTATTTGGCCAAAGACCAAGTCCTGAAGAAGGAGAGGAGTCAGCTATGGAAGTCGAGTATCCTCCAGTCACCTGTGGGCCACTCCTACAGAGCAGCTCAGGACTGTGCCCTAGACACAGGAGGCCACAGGTTCCTATGGTGGCCAGACGCTCCTAAGAGGTTGTATCTGGGTCTTGAAGGGTGGGGCTCATTTAAGTTCTTAGTTCTGGATTGCCCTGGAGGCAGGATTGCTTTCTGCATTTCCTACTTCTGTATCCCTCAAGAGTCGTGTACCCCTTTTGGTGGTTATCCATCTTTGACTAGTTAATAATTCTTTATGTTGAATTTTCCCTGTCCATATTATTGGTGGGGTTTCTGCCTATTAACTAGACTCTGACTAGTGTTGCAGCCATCTTTTCTTCTAAATTCCTGGGCTCAGGGGCAGCCTATGTCAGGCACTTCATAGGTGTTAATTGACTTAACTATAGTAAAATTATAGACTTCTATTCAACTTACTGTTATAGAATCAGAATATGGAAAACACTAAAGGAAGTGTTTAGTGATGGCAAATAAGGATGGGTCATCTTCAAGTTTTTGAAAGTGGCTATGAAATTATATAAGATCCCCATGAAGAATTCATTTTAATTAAAAAAGAATACAGTGGAGTTGCAATGTTGTAACTTACACCAATTCAATTATGCATCATTGACCAAAAATAAGAACAAGGAAAGAAAACAATACAAGCAGAGTAAGAGGTTCTCCTGCTGTTCTGCCCACTGAGCTGAAGCCCAGAAGGGAGGCGAGATGGGAGCCTGGGAGAAACCAACACTGCTCCTTGGAGGGACGGCGCGTCTGGAGTCCCAGGCGTCTCTCAGGGTGCAGCTGCTTTGCTGCACTGACAGTGGTTCTACACTTGCTCCCCATACACAAGCCAGCCCTTTACCTGGAGTGGATGAGGCAACAGTGCTCATGCTCTCAGGGCCGTGGGGAACTGGCTGTGCTGGTTCGTGGGAACAGTGTATCAGTCTCCAGCATGGTGCTTTGGTAATGCATTTCAAGGGGATTAGTTTTTATGCCTTCAAAAGATAATGAACACATGGCTTTGTCTGATGTGCTGTTTAGAAGCTAATGGCAATGCTAACACCTACAGCCTGGCATGTTGAGAAGTGGGTGAGTATGTCAGGAAGAAAAACAATGGGGCACATAACTTTAAAAAGAGCAGACTCACATCAGAACGGTTCTGATTTCTCAGTTAGCCGAAGTGTGCCTGAATCACAACTCTACTACATATTGCAGGGCATGCCATGGGTTTGAGTCTCAGGCCACTCAAATGTAAAACTACCACCTCAGAGGGCTAGCATAAGGATTACAGGGGGTCACACACATGAAACACACTGTTCAGTGCCTGGCTCATAGCAACTGGCAAACCTACTTTTTTTTAAAAAAAAAATGACAGACAGCAAAAAACACCAGAAGCAACACCATAAGATAAAAATTGGTAAAAGTAATTTGAAGCTAACATCCAGAAAAGGGATCTCTAGCACAAAAAGATCTCCTCCAAACCAATAAAAAAAAGAGAGCAACAACCAATACAAAATGAGCAAAGATTATGAATAGATAGTTCATAGAAAAGAAAATAGAACTGCTTCTTAAACACATTAAAAAATGGCTCAGTCTCCCTCATTATTAAAAAGCTGCAAATTAAAATGACTCCATAATATACCAAATATCACCTAGGTGTTTCCAGAGATCATGTAAACAGGTATAACCTTAACGGGCAGCAATCTGGACTTATCTGCCAAAATGGCAAATAGCACTTATCAGTTAACCCAGCAATCCAATGACTAGAAATTTGGGTCAAATGGTAACAGATAAATTCATAAACGATGCACACTAGGTGATTCACGCAGTATTGACTGTAACATAAAAATAGTGGGAATATTACAATTGTCTTTTTGTAGGGACCCAATTACACAAATAACATCTACAGACTGAAATAATATACAATTGTGTAGAAGAATGTGAAAGCTGCTTAGGTGCTGATTTTGAATAAGCTCTAAGATATATTAAGTGATAAAATAATAATGTATAGTATTCTACAATTTGCATAAAGAGGAGAGAATTGATGTAAATGTATATACAGTACCCATATGTAGTATATCTATATATCTGTAACTGTCTATGTGTACATATATATTGGTGTGTTATGGATATGCATTTCTTGCATATGAACAAATGTCTCTGGAAAGGCACATAAGAAACTCGTGGTACTGGCGGCCAGACGGGAAGGAACTGGCAGACTGAGGCACAGCGTGGAAAGGCTTATCATGTTTACCCTTTTGTGTCTTCTGAGTATCTGAACCATGTAAATGTGTTACCTATTTAAAAAAAATAAAAAATAAAAAGTGGTCTTACTTGCGTATGGTCTACCTTTCCAGCTCTCATCAGTGGGGTTAGAGAGCTGGCTCTGGCCTCTCTCAGAGGCATTTTTGTCTATGCTGCTTAGAGACTGGCGGTCCAAATCCACATCCTGAAAGTAAACCAGAGAGAAATACAACGGTCACTTTCTCTTCGTCTGTAATTCAGCACCTAAGCGGAGCGGTGCCTGTTTTAACACTGGGGCCCAACTTAAATGTAAGTGTCTTGCTCAGCTTGAAGTACAATTACATTGCATGCTTAAAGTGACACTTCTCAGAGGCTGCACAGGAGATTACGAATTTCAATGATTTCTTCCCTCGATTAAACCTTCATATTTTCTCATTCCAATTTAGAGGGCATTTCTCGACATATGATTTAACAATGAGCATGACCAAATTTTAATGAGATCAAATTAAAAAATAAACTAGTGCAATAGCTCGCCTTTTTTCCTTTTTAAATTGACTACAGAAGACAGAGTTTAATAGCTATGTATGGTGTCATGGGGATACTAGATTTATTGGGGGGATTACTTTGTAAGTTATATAAATGTCTAACCACTATGCTATATACCCGAAACTAATATTGAATATGTCAACCACAATTGAAAAAATAAAAAAGTAAAGTTATAAAATGAAAAAAACCCACCAGAAAGTTTAAATAATGGGCTTCAGAAAAAGTTGCTATATCCCAAAATGCCTTTTGAAATCTAATGTCCTTTTTGTTATTTGGGAATAGACGTTAATATTACAAACACTGCCTGGCTGGTGTGGCTGAGTGTTGACCCATGAATCAGGAGGTCACGGTTCGGTTTTTGGTCAGGGAACATGCCCGGGTTGTGGGCTCAATTGTGTGTGTGTGTGTCTTTGCGTGTGTGTGCATGCATGTGTGGTCCAGGGGGCAGCTGATTGATGATTCTCATCATTGATGTTTCTATCTCTCTCCCCTTCTTTCCTTTCTGAAATCAATATAAAAACACATTTAAAATAAATTACAAACACTTGTAAAATACTTGTAAACCAAAGTATTTTAAAGTGGGACTTGCATTAGAACTTTATGTTGCTGCACACAAAAAACAACTACTACCTGGTAGTCTGTGTATAACTTCTGTTACACAGCCAACGTATTGGTAACGTTTAGTAAGTGTCAACATGCTGCAGCTGATACTCTAGTTCAGTGATGGCGAACCTTTTGAGCTTGGCGTGTCAGCATTTTGAAAAACCCTAACTTAACTCTGGTGTCACATATAGAAATTATTTGATATTTGCAACCATAGTAAAACAAAGACTTATATTTTTGATATTTATTTTATATATTTAAATGCCATTTAACAAAGAAAAATCAACCAAAAAAATGAGTTCGCGTGTCACCTCTGACACCTGTGTCATAGGTTCGCCATCACTACTCACTCTAGTTAATGCTTGCTTAGTTGGAAAGCCAGGTATGAAAGTACGGCATATACTGAACATTCTTTTCTACACAAATGATTAATTTATTCTGAAAACAAGCAAACAAATATACAAAAAAAAACCCCCCTAAAAATTACTACTTCATTGGTGGAGAGAAAAAGCACTCTCTACTTAGGAGGATTATAAATAAAGATAATTACACGGAAGTATTTATAACAGTGAAGTATGGGAACTGACCTGTCCAACAAGGGAGAATTCATTAAATAAATTATAATAACGTGCCGCTACTGAAAAGGTTGTTCTCAGAGAATATTTAAAATATGGGAAAATGCTCACAATGTTAATACATTATGTGCCAAGTAAGCCAAATTACAAATATGTGGGTTACGTGAGTGCAGTCACACAAAGAAAAAACTAGAAATGTTTGTTTTTTATTGAGTGAGATGACCTATTTTCGTAATATTTTTCTACACTTTGGAAAAACCGTGTTAATGAACATATATCGTTTTTAGATCTTATAACGATTTTAACTCACTTCCCATCAGGAAAGCATTAACTCTTTGGGCTGCTAGATCTTTTACTATAAAAGGAGAAAAGAGAACCAAAAAGAAATCTTACCAAATGTTTTTCTGATGAGTCTTCCTCCATTCCCACAGGCCTCCACGTCAGCAAACTTGAGAAAATGCAGAAAAGGAAAATGATCACTGGAAAGGCAACGCAGAGCTCCAAGACTCCACTGCACACAAGCAAATAACGACAATCACACTGACACTTACACATGTGGGATGGTTGTTTTGAAAATATCCATCATACAACTGCACGTTTTATCCCAGACATCAGGACTGAATTTCTCTCCATTGGATATTACTAAGTTTTCTAAGCAATTTGTACCTGATCGAGCCAACTGCTCATTATCTGTAAAATAAAATAATATCTATCATTAAACTTCAATTCCTCTTTGATTCCAAACAGATTGCTGATGCTTCATGTTGTGGAGACTATGCCACTGGTGGGTTTATAGGCTTTTAATTAATGCAGCATTGCTACAGATAGCTTTAACATTTTTATAGTTCAAGTGAGGGAGAAATTATTTCTCATAGCTTTACTGCTAGGGACCGGAAGAAGGTCAACATTTTGCTACCTAATTAACTGGCTTCTTGTATGAGAAATGGTAAAAGAAGATGGGAAATATCAGAACAGTGCTTTTAAAAATGTAGTCATTCAAATTCTATTTTTCCAATTTTTGCCATATCAGTATCAACTGCTTTATCATTTATTTTAAAACTGAGTCACTTTTTAAAAAGCTTAAATTAAGCCGCATCTTACGAAGCCAAAACTATCTAATGCATCCAGATCTAATGTGCTATGTGGGTATTTTTCCTAATGCACACTAAATAAACACCTAAGTATTAAAACAAAAAATGTCCATCGATGAAGCTATTGCTCTTGACTCCCACAGTACATTTATTTTATTTTTTAAAAATATATTTTATTGTTTTTTTTACAGAGAGGAAGGGAGAGGGATAGAGAGTTAGAAACATCGATGAGTGAGAAACATTGATCAGCTGCCTCCTGCACGCCCCCCACTGGGGATGTGCCCGCAGCCAAGGTACATGCCCTTGACCGGAATCAAACCTGGGACCCTAGAGTCTGCAGGCTGACGCTCTATCCACTGAGCCAAACCAGTTAGGGCTCCCACAGTACATTTAAAAAACATTTTATTATAGAAAATTTTAAACACAGACAAAAATAGAATAGTGTAACTTACAAAAAGGTACATCTTTTAAAAATAAAAATACATCCCATCTTAAAGAAATATAAACTGACTTGGTTGAGAGATTGTTTTTATGTTCTAATTAAAATTTTAAAAATACATTTTCACCAATGAAATTAGGGGTGGGGAACATCCAGCTCGAGGGCCGCCTAAGGCTGGGAAAATCATTTGGTCTGGCCCTGCCAAGGCATTAGGGTGAGTTATTAAATGTTTGACCAAATATAGCAGTTAATTTTTAAGCTGATAATTTTGTATGGCCTGTGAATGATGTTATAAATATAAAAATGGCCCTTGGCAGAAAAAAGGTTCCCCACCCTTGAATGAAATGATACAGTGTACTCTTTGTCATTATAGCCATGCTTTTATATGTGGAAAAAATTAGTCTCTCATGAAGGATTATGTCAAGATAAATGATGCCTAGAGACATAGAATACCTTGTTTTACACACCACTGCAACTGTGCAAATATATCAGAAAGAAGAACTTCATTCAAAGCTTCATAAAACTGGGTAAATACGTCACAAATAGCATAAAGTGCATGATTACAAGTTGTTGTCATCCACTCAGATTTCTGGAAAAACAGTAAAAAGATAATATTTAAAGACCTCTCAGTCCCAGACATCACTGACAAACTATTCTAGAAAGCAATCTAGCATCGTGTATCAACAGTCCTATCAGCTCACATCCATTGGTGCAATAGCACTTCTAGGAATGAACCCAAAAGAAATAATCAAAGATTTGTGGTTGAGGTTTATGTTTATCACACTGGTATTTATACACTGTAAACACAGATACAAACTCATGTCCAGCAATGTGCGATTAAATTGAGTACATCTATCTGACAGAACATTAAACAGTCATTCAAAGTATTACTTACAAAAATTTTTAATGATTTGGAAAAAATGAATATAAGATTATGCTAAATATACCATACATCAAAAATTTAAATATTAAAAATGAGTAAATAGGCATCTTTCAAAGAAGATATAAAAATGGCCAACAGCCACAAGGGCAAGGTAGTCAACATCACTAAACATTAGGGAAATGAAAATCAAAACAACAATGAGATGTCTCCTCACAGCTGTTAGAATGGCATCCATCAAAAAGACAAGAGATAAATGCTGGGGAGGATGTGGAGAAGAGAGAACACTTGTGTACTGTTGGTGGACTGTAAATTGGTACCATCACTATGAAAAACAGTATGGAGGCTCCTAAAAATATATATATATATCTACCATATGATCCAATAAATTCTACTTCTAGATATATATCCGAAAAAACTATGTTGAAGAAATATCTAGCCCTGACTGGTTGCTCAGTGATTAGAGCGTTGGCCTATGGACTGAAGGGTACCAAGTTTGATTCCTAGTCAAGGGCACATACCTCTGTTGTGGGTTTGATCTCTGGCCCTGGTCAGGGTGCATGCAGGAGGCAACCAGTAGATGTGTCACTCTGACATCTCTCGCCTATCAAATTAATGATTAAATAAATTACAAAGAGCTGGAGTGGGTACGGGGAAGCGGTAACTCGCACGCATTGCTGGCACAAGTGTGAAGAGCTGTAAGTGTATTTGGAGGTCAACTAGATGTATCAAAAGCCTCAGTGATGTGCAAGCCCCAAACCTGGCAGTCAGACCACTTCTCCTAAAAGCAAACTGTAGCTGCAAAATGTTCATTTCATTGCTGTCTAAAGGAAAATTGGAAACAATTTTCCGTGGACTATGGAACATCCACAGATAGGAATGTTTTGCAGTCCTTAAAAACATTGTGGAGGACAAGTTGCAGTTGTAAAAAAACACACATTAAGTTAAAAAAGCAGTTCCCAGTATATGATGGGATTCCATTTTTGTTAAAAAAAGAAAAGTGTATAAAACACACACACACACACACACACAACACACACACGGCATATCTGAAGGGGTTAATAGTGGTAACGTGTGGAAGTTTTAAACTGTGGGTGCTTAAATTTTTTCTGTTTTCCAATGAAGAAAAATTTTAATGACTTTAATATAAGATTAGAAAACTGTATCTATACTATAACCAGGTCCATTCAACAACCTTATTTAATGTACATAAAAAAACAGAGGAAAACTTGCCAAAACATTAACTCTAATTTTGGAGTGATTTTAAATGATGTTTTTTATATTCCTAATATTCCATATTAAGTATATGTTTCTTTCATATCAGGGGGAGGGAGGGAATGCTGTTCCTAAAAGAAGGTAAAAAAGTTACTCTCCCATCTTAAAATCTTGAGCTAGAATGCCTTCTCCTCAGCCCTTTACCTCCAGGGGAGAAATAACAAAGATAACTAGAAACATCTCACATCTTTTTAAAAAAGGCCTAATATTTGCTAACATCATCTGACTGCAACTTCATATTAAAAACCTTTTTAAGTGTGTTTTTGAAGGGACAGAGTCACTCCACTTTTTACTGATTGTTCAGAAGTTAAGTGAACCAGTCAGGAGTCCTGCTGATCTGGCAGGTACGATGCCTCAGGGCCAAAAAGGCAGAGCGTGGTGATTAATTTCCTCTCACTCGTCCTCAGACAGGAGGGCTTCTTCTGTTAGTTGATATTGGTAGAAGAGTGCCAGGAAGGGTGCTCCCATTTTTAAAACACACCTCAAGTGGCTCAGTATTTAAGACTTCCATGCAGATGAGGACACAACCCCCAGAGGCAGACAAAGGCCAGAGAGGCTTGTCTCCCATCCCATCCCGGCTGTGCTGTAGTCATCACGTACCTCCGACTGCTGCTCCGGGAGTTTCATGTTATCAAAAATTCTGAACACGATTCTGAACAGGTCCTGCCACCAGTGCTTTTCAAAGGTGTGGCCATAGCTCTTCATGATCTCGAACATGACCGTGAGTCCTCTGCAGGAAACAAAGCCAGGAGCAGAAGAGGGAAGGGGTTGGGGGAAGAGAACAGCAGGGAAGAGAGGGGGAGAGCATGGGATCAGGTGAGCAGGTGACTGAGGCTCATTCAGAGAAGGGAGGGGCACCTCCCTGGGACACAGTTACCTTGTCCGCACATCTAGCTTGCACCTATTGATGATGCAGGAGAGCTCAAACAGAATGGGGAACCAGCCTCGGACCCAGACTCTGTCACCAGGAGCCACATTCATGTCATCGCTTGTGTATTCTTGTAGCACCTACAATGAAAGTCACCTCTCAGATATAGACTATGCAAGCAAAAGGAAGGAAGTGAAAGGGAACTACACAGGGGGAAAGGCCTCACACACGTTCTCTTCTGGAAGTATCCATTCAGCAAGGGATGCTGCAAAATCTTAGGTCTTTCTGGAATGTTAATACAGTACTTAAAGTACTACTTAAAATAATAACAGCAGCAGCTACTATTACTGAATGCTTGTTAGGGGCCAGGGACTGTGAAAGTGCTCTACATGGTTTAATAATTCTCACAATGATTCTGAGAGGCAGGGAAAAAATAATGGTCCCATTTTATAGATGAATCAACTGAGGCACTTAAGAGTTTAAGTAAACTGCCCAAGGTCATGCAGTTAAGAGCTGGCAGTCTTTCCATAGCCTGGATGTGAAGCCCCATCTCTAGGATTTCTAGCCCTCTGCTCTGTAACCACTCTTAAAGTGGCATTGTTTGTTGTAAAGGAATTTCTTTATAATCTCTTGTTATCTAACATTAGGCAATTTCTCTCTGTGCTTCAGTTAACTCCTCTGCACAATGGGGACATAACTACCCACCTCATAGGTCTGCTTTGAAGATTACATAAATCAATGCACAGTGCCTAGAATGGTGCTTGACATGTGGTAAGTGCTCAGCTGACAGTGGCTCTCATTATCATCATCATCTTAATGAGCTGTTGTGGGGGACCTAGCATGTCATCTCAGGGGCTTACAGTTCTGCAAAGAATGCTTGACAAGAGATTAGCCACCATAGTTTGTTTGTTTCCACCCAATTTCAGTGTTTTGAGATTGTCATTTAAACCAAGCAGGCCTCCTTAGATAGGTGAGACATGATAGAAAAACCCAAAATATTTCCAGGTGATTTTTCAATGTGACTTCCCAACCACGTCACAATGGCATAATGTCATTTCCTAAAAGGGAGGTTTATTTTCCTTCAAATAGAAAGGTCTAGCTTGTTCAGTTTTGCGAAAATTCAAAGCTAAAATACTATTATTGTCTACAAAATAATTTGTAGGATACCAAATAAAAGTTCAGTTGAATAAAATAATTTCATAAATACAAAATACAGAAAAGGTATAACCCCTACAATGGAAAGTTCTTTGCCAGGAGTGGGGTTTTGGCCCCACAACTCCTTCCCCTCATCGCCCATATGAGCGAGGAAAGGAGAAATGTACCCGAGGCCTCTCGGAGACGTATTTGGCACAGAAACGGATGAGCCGGATGGCTTCCATGCTGGTGTCAGGGAAAGCGGCGTTGCAGGCAAACTCCGACAAGCACTTCACAGCATCCTGAAAGGAGTCGATGGCTGCAGGGAAATGGTGCTGGAAAATAGTTGCTGGGGAGACAAAGGCACATAAAAAAGATAAGACCAGGACTTAGAAATGGGGATTAGACACACACACACACACACCCACACCCCAGAGAGGATTTCTTCTGTGAACATCTAAGAAAAGCATGTCAGTATTTCTGTAAGACAGTGCTTCTTAGTCAATTATTCAGGAATAAGTGCACCGGATACAATTTGGGCTAAACTGGTTCCTGAGCTCAAACAATGATGTAAAGACCCAAATAATCATTCATTCAATAAACATTTGAGTGTCAACTATGTGCAAAGCATGGTTATGGGCCCTGGAGGCAGAGATGATGAATCAAACTTGCTGCCTCATGGTGCTCGTGCTCCAATGGGCAAGACAGACAACAATCACCTAAGTCAATACATATATAAGATAATCTCAGGTGGGGTGAGTTCTAGATAAGGGGCAGAAGGTAAGAGGGGCTGTTTAGGCTGGTGGTCGGGAGATCTCTCCAAATAGGTCCTGAGAAGTGTCCCTAAGGAAGTGAGAGAGGGTGAGCCGTGAGAAAGCCAAGCTGCAGCAGGATGCCAAGGTGTCCATTTAACTGAGGCTGCTTTAGAATGGAGCTTGAGGAACTACATAAGACGTAAACACTGATCTGTGTTGTGCCGTTGCCCATAGTGGTTTGTCTGCCAAAAGTTGAGCCCTGAGCAAGGCTCTGGCCTAGTCTGTGATCCTGACCTCATCCCTTAATTCTCTGGTTGTTTCCTTCCTAAGACCACACCTTGTGCTACCTTGCTGAATGGAATCTTGTAAAGATAAATGTCAATGAGCTAAAGGTTAAAGGCAATTTAGAAACCTAAAGTTTTCAAAACCCTACAAATATCACATGATCTAGGAGAAATATATGCGTAGCAAGAAGTTTACAAAAAGTTAAAAAAATGAAAAAAATGAAAGGTGACCCAATGTTTTACAATTTCCACGAAGACCAAGACCAGTAAACATCTTGTTACATGATCACAGGCAGGACAGGGACTTCTGGTCAGTCTAGGGTACAGGGACATAGTGCTGGACTGCCTGGTGTGAACCCTACTCCACCACTTCCTAGCTGCGTGACCTTGGGCAAGTTGTTCTACTTTATTTTTTGATGTCTCGGTTTTCTCTTCAGTAAAATGGGGAAAACAATGGTGTAGTCACTTCTCATTAATCATGGTAGTTGGGTTCTCTAGAGTAGCTGTGAACACTGAATTAGCAATTTCTGAACTATCACTTCTAGGGGAAATTCGGGGTTAGGTTCCTACGAGCCTTGGGCTATCACATTCTCATCAACTGATCACTACATAACCTTGCTTTATGTGCATCTGTTTAAAGACACCTTATTTAATATATACTGTTGGCTCATTAACAATGAACTCACAGCCAACAAAGCACTGTAATTCATGCCTGAATGAAGTTTATGTAAAACATGTACTTTCTCCATAAGGCACAACACAGCCTTCCTGTGCTTACGGACACAGGACAGCACTTTAGCACTATGGGCAGAGCCATTTTAAATGGCAAAGTCACCAACAATAAGACAAAAATGCAAAAAACGTGGCAGTAAGTGTACTATGAAAAGGACGCTTGCATATTTACAGTAAAAGAGCTGAAACAAGAAGGCAGAGCATGACCTTCTAACCCAGCTGGGAATGTGTACCTTGGGCGACTCAAGTATTTCGCTGTTCTATGCATGTGCACGTCCACAAATAGCAACAAAAGTGCCAGGAGTATTCGTGGGGGTTATGTATAAATTTCAGCAAGCAGGTGAATTCACCAACATGGACGCTGCGAATAATGAGAGTTGACAGTATTTCCTTCACAGGGATGCTGTGCACGTGTCAAGAATGTGGCACATCATTATATCACAGTACAGCTAAACCAAGGAAGCTCTTTTCTGGGAGTAAAAGAGACAGGAAATAAGTGGTCCCTCTTCCAGACTTGTGGGTGGATGTTAAGAGGGAAGAGACACCTACTGACAATGTGGCCTGTGCTCTGGAAGGCCAGCTCCACGATGTTCCCATCGTGATCTGAGGCTGCCTGGTGGAACACGGCAAAGATGTTCTTCCAGCCCGAGCGGATGTTGGCAGCCTGGGAGTTTACCATCTGGGCAATGCAGCGGATCACCATGTCCCGGATGGTCGGAGACCTGAGGAAGAAATGGGGCAGCCATGTCACCTGTACTTTGGATAGTGGGAAGACATATAAACACAGCTTATCATGTAGAAGCAGCACTGAACACATTTTTTTTAAACCACGCAATAATCTACATTCACTTAAAAAAAAATTAGAGACAATATTTGACCAAAGCTTGGTCATGAATGTATCCTTTGGATTGATTTATGGCCAAAAGGGGGAACTGTGAATAAAAAAAAGAGATTCTATGGAAAGGAACCTCACAGGATGATTGATCATAAATTTCTAATTGGGCAGGTCACAGTGAGTAGTTATGCCCCAGGCAAGACCTGTCTGTTGTTTCTGTTCATCTAGGTTAACACACCTTTGAAATAAGAGACCACATAATCTTGATAACTATTTTGTAATCCAATCTCTGCCTTGTTTTTCCCCATCTCCATGTAATTGTCCTTATGTTTCCTTTTTAGTATCACATCCATAAAAAAGCCGCAAAACTATTATTCTCTAGAGCTTTGAGATCTTGCTCCCCAGCATATGTCGGCAGTTTGCCTCAAATAAACTCTTACACAAATATAAAAAAAAATTACAGACAACAAAAAGAAAAAATGGTAAGTAATCACTGTGGCAGACAGTTAGTTGCCTACCCAGAAGCTACCCTTCCACCTCCTTACAACAGAACTCTCACTGCAGGCAGCAACATGCCCAACATCAGAAAATGGATCATAAATGGTATAAGATAAATGGCAATCTTGTAGCATGTGCCAGGTCTTCGATTTCCCAGCCTCCCTTGCAGCTAGGGGAGCTCCATGATCTGCTCTAATTAGATGTCAGAGAAAATGTACGGCATTAGGGAGAAGAGGTTTCTGGGAAGGTTTAGCTTTTGTTTTAAAAGGAATACACATGGCAGGCTCTGCCCCCTTTTCTCTTATTTTCATTCTGAACGCAGCATGATGGCTGGAGCTAAAGCCTCAGTCCAGCAATCACAAACAACAGGCTCAAGGATGAAAGTGACCTTGTGGATGGTCAAAGAAATGGAAAGAACCTGAGTCCCTGACAACAACTGGGCTGTGACTGCCCTGTATAGAGTGTTTCTATCCCTATCCCCTAAAGTTCTTTAGAGTAATTACCAATGATTTACTGAACATTTACTTATCTATCCCACTGGAATATAAACAAGGACTTGTTTTTTAATTTTATTATGAAAAACTTCAAACATATATGTAAGTAGAGAGAATAGAGTAATGAATACTGTATACCTATCACCTAACTGCAATGATTATTGAATTAGGGCCAAAGGAAAATATAAATTTTTGACTGTTTTTAAAAATATATATATTTTATTGATTTTTTACAGAAAGGAAGGGAGAGGGATAGAGAGTTAGAAACATCGATGAGAGAGAAACATCGATCAGCTGCCTCCTGCACACCCTCTACTGGGGATGTGCCCGCAACCAAGATACATGCCCTTGACTGGAATTGAACCGAGGCCCCTTCAGTCCGCAGGCCGGCTCTATCCACTGAGCCAAACCGGTTAGGGCTGACTGCTTTATTGCGGTATGCTTGGCACTTAGAATAGTACCTAGGAGATGGCATGCCTCTTACACAGCCAAGTGAATGAATGAAAAGGGTGACTGCTTCAAAGGGCTAGTAGCTGCCCTGACCTCTTTATCACTTCCCTGGGGCACAAATGCTGAGTCACATAATCCTTGACCTTGCCGGAGGTTGCTTCAGCAGTGACTCTTTCTCTGCCTCCCCCCTACCCCCCCACCCCCACGCCTCATCAGCCTCAAAAAGATGGGTCACATATTTCTACTATTTGCAGTGGTGTAATGTGTCCTTTGGGGAATGTTACACACAGATCGCAGTGTGATTTACTTACAGACAATAGATGCGAATCAGAGTCTATTCATTTCATTTGCTTCCACCATCAAGGAAGAAAAAAATTAATTGTGTGGTTAGTGGTAGGGGGTCCTTTTAGGGGCCCGATGGGAAC